CTGTCCTGGAACTCACTATGTAGACCAGGCTGGCCTTGAATTCACAGAGATACACCTGCCTCTGCCTCCCGAGTGCTGGGACTACAGGCGTATGCCACCACGTTTGACTAGAGTATAACATTTTGTAAAAGAAAAGGAAACATTGACATGATCACATGACTGTCTTCCATCCCATTAGACTTTGGAGGATTTGACTTGTTTGTGATTCCATACGCTGGGACTACAGGCGTATGCCACCATGTTTGACTAGAGTATAACATTTTGTAAAAGAAAAGGAAACATCGACATGATCACATGACTGTCTTCCATCCCATTAGACTTTGGAGGATTTGACTTGTTTGTGATTCTAGTTTAATTGATCAATAGTTGATTGTAGGTATTTTGTGCACATTTGAAAAGAGCTTTCTATGGTTTGGTTTTACCTTTGAGTGTTTTCCCCAGTGCATCTGTCCCTCATGATTCCTCCCCTGTGACTTTCATCCTCCAGATCAACATGCTTCTCAATTTTAAGGATGACAAAAGTGAATGTCCATGTCCCGAAGAGATCCGAGACCAACTCCTGGACTTCCACGAGGACCTGATGACACACTGTGGTAAGGTCATTGTTCTGTCTGATCTCTGTTGCTGTGACAAACACCATGACCAAAGGCAGCTTAAGGAATGAGAGGATTTATGTGGCTTATGCGTTCAGGTCACAGTCCATTACTGAGGGAAGTCAGTGCAGGAACTCAAGACAGGAGCTTGAAGCAGAGACCACGGAGGATGCTGCTTGCTGGCACTCCCTCTGGCTCATGCTTGGGAGCTCAGCTAGCTTTCTATACCTCCAGGACCACCTGCCATGGGCCAGAGACTCCTACATCAGTTAACAATGAAGACACTCTCTCACAAACATGCCCACAGATCAACTTGACAAAGACACATACTCAGCTGAGACATTTTTTCCAGGTGATTCTGGGCTGTGGCAGGTTACAGTTAGTGCTGACTAGGACAATCATCTTGAGTCATTGCCCTGACTACTCTATCTACACTGGGGCAAAATTAAGCAAGTATGTGATAGGTCTGTTAGACAGTCTGATAATAATATATTTATTATGGCAAAAGGGTTAGCTGTCATTGTGTCATAAGCCAGGAGGAGCAGGAAAATCAGAGAGGCAGGACAATGGAGCCACAAATGACCACAGTTCTTTCCCTCTTGGCAGGGAAGGAGACATGCTGGTGGCACATCCATGGGGGGTTGGGGGGGTCTGTCTGATCAGTGTTGGGAAAATCTCTACTGTTCAAGATGATACATTGTAGAGATTTTCTATACAACAGAAGCCTGCCAGAACTGTGTGTGTTCTTAAAACTGTGTGAAAGAGTGGCCCTCCTGTTAAGTATTCTTACAACACAAACCCAAAAAAGAACAAATAACAATATTATTAGTAATAATAATAAAAACATGAGGAACCTTACAGGTCATGACTTTATGAGTACTGCTTTGATTAAGTGATTGGCTTCATGGGTGTGCGTGAATGTCCAAATGCATCAAATTGCATATAGTAAATATGAGTAACTTTTACCTGTCAATTGTACTTCAACAAAGATATTTTTAAGAAAGAAATTTGATCCCAGTACTAGATAAACTGGTTGAAGATGCACCATTTAGGACCGACTTAGGAAATCTTGCATATTTCTTTTTAAAATAATGTCTAGGAAACTATATATTGCCATATGTCAACAACTATAAGAACTTTTAAAATGCAAGACTTTAGCTGATCTAGATGTGTATTTCTGTGCTCCATTATGAAATGATGTGATTATGGTTTGTGATTTAATGAAGGGCAATGAATTGGTCAGTTTCTTTTTCAGTGATGTGGAGAGACAGATAAATATGACTATGTAGAGAGGTAGATAGATGATAGATACATAGATAGATTAATAGAAAGTTAGATAAATAGATTATAGATACATAGATTAAATAGAAAAGTATGTAAATAGATGATAGATACAGAGCTACATAGATAGATAAATAATGGAAAGGTAGCTACTTGATAGATGATAGATGATAGGTAGATAGATAGGTAGGTAGGTAGATAGATAGATAGATAGATAGATAGATAGATAGATAGATAGATAGATGATACATAGGTGATAGGTGATTGATAGATATATGATAAATAGATGATAGATAGAAATATATACATACATAAACAGATGATAGATGATGAGATAGATAAATGATAAATAGGTGGTAGGTGATTGATGGATATATGATAGCTAGATGATGGATAGATAGATAGATGATAAATGATGATGGATAGATAAATGAGAAATAGATGATAGATAGATAGATAGATAGATAGATAGATAGATAGATAGATAGATAGATAGGTAGATAGATAGATAGATGATAGCAATTGTATCAGTAAGGTTATGTGTATCTCATTTTAGAAGAGATTGAGAATAACACATTGGGTGCTGGTGACATGGCTCAGCAGTTAGGAACACTTCTTGCCCTTGCAGAGTCCCTGGGTTCAGTTTTCAGCACCATATCATGAACTCTCAGATGCTGTAACTCCAGTTCCAGGGGATCTGACACCCTCTTCTGGCCTTCATGAGCATCAAGCACACACACACTGAACACACATACGTGCAGGCAAACACTCATAAACATAAAGGTATCTTAAAAAAATAGAATGTTTTATATTAATTTTATGAATGATAAAACCACTAAATGCCTAAATGTCATGCCACAAATATATTATCAAAAAAGTGATATGTTAAAATGGCAGAATTATTGCTACAGATGGGAAACATCCCCTGGTTTGGGACACCTAATCATGTGTGTTCTCTCTACCTCTCAAGTTATGGAAACACTGACATATTTGGAAGGAAGGGAAGAGGGTGGAAGTCCTGGGGTTTCCAGGCAGGGAGGAATAGAGGTCTAGACAAACAACAGTGAAGACAGTGATGCTTACAGTCAAACAGCAGATGGATCTTCACTCCTGAGAGCCTTTTGCTCTTGACTTGCTTTGAATTTTATCACAGTTGTTGGCATGACAGGTACAGAGGAGGGGAGAGAGGGGGCAAAGAAACTGCTTAAGTGAATCACGTTTGAGCACTGTTGGGTGAGACTGCCTGGGATGGGCTCTGAGGCATTTGAGACTTTTCTGGAAGCTGTGGAGAGAAAGGTTGCAGAGCCCGAGACTCGTTCCTCACCAATTTTTCAGATATTTTGTCTTCTCCCTCTTGGTGCAGGGATCGAGCTGGATGAGGATGGCTCGCTGGATGGAAGCAATGATTTAACCATCAGAGGCCGTCTGCTGTCCTTGGTAGAAAAAGTGACCTACCTGAAGAAGAAGCAAGCTGAAAAGCCAATTGCAAGGGATTCCAAGAAGTCCTGTAAGCATTTGAAAGTGCCTTAGCCCAATGCCACGGCCGTGACATCTGTTTATCCTGAGAATGAACACTACACTCAGCAAGGGAGATGACGGAGATCCCAACTTCCAAGAATGGGCTTCTGAAGTCCCTTCCTATAGAACTCAGAAGTAGGCAGCTTCTGGAGGGAGTTCCCTGGAGAGCTAACAGTTCAGGTGTTAGGTCATAGACTGTCAAGACAAGGTGTGGGGCTTGGGAGATAACTCATTCAATAAAGTGCTTGCTGTGCAAGCGTGAAGACCCAGATTTGGATCCCCAGCACCCATGTAAAAACCAGTGACACAGCCTGTAATCCTGGAGGGGCAGAGACAGAAGGACCCATGGGGCTTGCTGGCCAGGCCATCTAGCTGAATCTGTGAGCTCCAAGCTGATGACAGTCCCTGTGGTAAAAAATACAGTGGAGCCGGGCATGGTGGTGCACACCTTTAACCCCAGCACTCTGGAGGCAGAGGCAGCCAAATCTCTGTGAGATCAAGGCCATCCTGGTCTACATAGTGAGTTCTAGGCACCCAACATCAACCCCTGCCCCCCCATATATACACACTGTACATATGTACACATGTACTTACATATGAACATGAACACAAAAAGGGAATAATTTAGTTTTCATAGGTATATATTGTATGTAATTTTATTATTATTATTATTTTTCTCTTTTTGAGACAGGGTCTCCCTGTAGCCCCATCTGTCCTGGAACTCACTGTGTAGACCAGGCTGACCTTGAACTCACAGAAATCTGCCTGCCTCTGCCTCCCGAGTACTGGGATTAAAGGCATGTGCCTCTATTTTTTAAATAAAATTTTATTGAATTTTTGTGTACTTTATACATAAAATCATCTTTATACCCCTTCCCCTTTGGTACCCTCCCATAAATGACTATGTCATATGAAACCTTTCCCTTTAAGGTTAAATAGGAACTATCTATAGCTGTATTTTGGTTATCAATCTTTTCCCAAAGTATGTATTTCTGGTTCATTATACCCTATTTAACTAAGAAAAGGGGCTACTGATCCTTGACCCCAAATAAACCGCCTTCTGCCCCGAGTTCTACAGAGGTGGTTCTTCCTTCCTGAAAGTGTTGTGGACCCTTTGTGGGTTTTTTTTTTCTTTCTGTTATTGTTTTGCTTTTTTGAGACAGGGCCTCACTGTATAGTTCTAGCTGGCCTGAAACTCACAGAGAGCCTCCAGCCTCTGCCTCCCAAGTATTGGGATCAAAGGCCTGGAGACCATGCCCATCTGGGATCTCAAATCCCTAAGGTTACACTTCTGAGATCTGCAATTTTAAGATAATGGAACTGGCTTTTTAAGGACTCTTTCTGGAAAATAAGAAAACCATACCAAAACTTTATTAGTTTTAGAAAAAAATCTTATTCATCTTATTATTCTAAATTTATTCTTCTAAGACATGACAAAATTTGAAGCAGGCCATCTTCAAAATCAGAGTTTTTAAAATTTCTTATGAATCATACTTATTGGGTTCATGACCTCAGCGGTTAACATAACAGCAAGATCTTGAGACTTAGGGAAATATATTGACTTTTTTTGGGGGGGTGGATAAATTTGGTAGATGTTCCTTAAATACTTATTATGTTACTATTATGTTAAATACTTATTATATTACTTATGTTACTATTCTTCCTTAAATATCTAGGTACAAAATAAACAACTTCTTTTGAAGTTAGTGTATTAATGATAGAAATGCAGTGTCTATGTATCACTATCTACTTATCAATCACCTCAATTCCAACTTAAGTTTGGTAATTCTACTCATTTTAAGATGTTTGGCTATTTCTGTCACTTTCATGGCCTATGCTCCTTGTTATACCACAGATAGCCCTGGAGTCTTATGTCTGGCATAACTTTTCAGATCAGTACAACTTCACAATCAAATATGTTCAGAGACATTTTAAGTGACAGTACAGGACCCCAATTTAAGTAAAAACATACTGATATGATCAGTCTTACAAATGAGTTAAACAACCACTACCTGAGTTTTCTGTGATTGACCTTTGGAGATGGAATGATATCATCTCTTCAGGGAGAAAATAATGGAACAAAGCAAATACAGCTAAAGGTCAGGCACCTTGTGTTTGTGGTTGTACTTCCATTGGTGTATGGACTGTGAACAGTAATCCAAAGTGCTTGTGTGTTAATTTCTTTTCTATTCCTGTGGCAAAATACCCAGACCAAAAGCAAGTTAGGGGAAAAGGGCTCCTTTCGGATCACCACTCCAGAGGGGATACTGTCCGTCATGGTGAGGAGAGTGGTGGGGGGGAGGTAAGGCCAGGGGTCACCTTCCATCCACACACAGGAAGAAGAAAAAGGACCACAGGATGTGGGGCAAGGCTATAAAACCCCAAACCTGCTCCCAGTGATGTACTCCCTCTAACAAAGCTCTCCTAAAGGTTCCATAACCTTCCAGACAGCACCACCAACTGGGGCCGAGTGTTCAACAACATGAGCCTCTGCCCCATTTCTCATTCAAACCACAACTGCCTATAATTTTGTAACAGCTTATTTAAATTATGAGAAATTCCTTTAGGTGAGAGTGCATATATATTTTTTTAAATTATATATTACGTGTTTATTAGGGGTACAACTTTTATTATATTTTTTAAATCTTACTGATCTCTATGGAAATAGTGCTAATACTTAAATTACATTTATAAAGAATATTGGACGTGTCTTTGCAGTGTCCTGGCCTTTGAAGTTTGTGTGTAAATGGCAGTACCAGTTTGAGGGTATGGGTTGCGCAGCTGATATGTCTTCTTACTGTTTGCTTTCCCACACAAACCTTCCATACAGCCAGTCTACAGCAGCTGATTTCTGAGACCATGGTCCGGTGGGCTCAAGAGTCTGTCATTGAGGACCCCGAGCTGGTGAGGGCCATGTTTGTGTTGCTACATCGGCAATATGACGGCATCGGAGGCCTAGTCAGGGCACTGCCGAAGACCTACACCATCAACGGCGTCTCTGTGGAAGACACCATCAACCTGTTGGCATCTCTTGGCCAGATCCGTTCTCTCCTGAGTGTGAGGATGGGCAGAGAAGAGGAGAAGCTGATGATTCGTGGACTAGGGTAAACTCTGGAACCATGGCAACTCTGTCTTCTACATTTCTTCTGGTTTTCCTTTTTTATTGAGCTTTTAAATTTTTAGACATTTCCCACTCAAATCCAGACCCCTTCCCCAATCCATGCCTCCCCCTACTCTCCCACCAAACCCTCTGCACTCTGCCATACATGCTGAGTCCTATTCATTCAGGTGTTTGTACCCAAATGCCCTTCAGTGTAAATGCGTCCACTGTCTAGTCAGCCCATCCAGTGGTCGTGTGTACGTTATACTCACTCTCATCCAGCAGCAATCAGTCTCAAATAGTTCTCAATCTAGTGCTGGCCCACCACCTATTTCTCACCACCCCTTTGGGCCCTTGTTTAATTGAGCTGACATGGGTCCCATGCTCAATGCCACCACTGCTGCAGGCTCACATGAGCAAGCCTCTAGTGGCCTGGAAGCTTCCACCTCCCTGTGTTCATGAACCAGCCCTGGCTCTTAAAATCTTTCTGACTCCTCTTCTGCACTGGTCCCTGAGCCATGGGTGGGTGAGGTTCCATGTAAGAGTCCTGTCTTACACTCCACAGTCTCTTATTCTCCAAAACTTGGCCAATTGTGGCCTTCTGTGTGTATCGCATGCACCCTGATGTACACGGAAGCCTCACTGATGAGAGTTGAGGGGTACATTATCCCTCTCTCTACCCCTTATTCCATTTCTGGTTTTTATTGAGTTAGTGATACTATAGATGCATTACTGCAAAAGCACTCTCTGGATTATATAATTATTTTAGATTATGTTTCTAAGACAAATAAGAAAGCTGGACTATGCAAGCTGAAACCAGGCAAAATCCCAACGTAGACATAGGGAAGTGGATTAAGAAATCCAACCCCAACCTAAGGAACTTCTGGCAAGTAATGGCTACAGTGAGGGGGAAAGACCATGTCTTCAAGGGATGGGACTCCTGGAGGGCCCAGTGGATGGATCCACACTGAAGGACATTGGAGGACATGCCTTATACACTATAGGCGGTATCATACATGTAAGAGAGTTCATTAAATTGGGCTGGGGAAGTTGGGGGAGATAGGGAGAAGGGAGCAGATCTAAATGTCATCAAACTACATTGGATGAAAATCGCAAAGAAATCAATTAAAATGCAAAAAAATAAAATAAAATAAAAATCTGATTACTGAGTCATGGGCAACCTATTGGGAGGTTCATCCCTGAAGAGAGCTGACTTTTCCTCTCTCAGCAGCTGGCCACAGCCTGGAGCTCCTCATCTAGGGCTCTGGCTTTGTGCACCCTCCCCCCATCCCTGGTGTGGTCATGTGCAGGTCTGGTGCAGGCAGCCATAGCTGTTGAAAGTTCATGGGTTCAACATCCCTGTCATGTCCTGAAGATGTTTTCCACAAAATGGTAACTTTTTTTGTTGAACATGTAAAATCAAAGAAAAAAAAAAAAACAGTTGCTTATTGACAGATTAGATGCTAACATGGTATGACACGCAGCAGCTAGTGCTGAGTATTGCCTCTCAGATCCTCAGGAACAGTTATATTAAAAAATAAGCACACAGTAAAGTCTGTGGTATGGATAAAAAAACATTGGCCAGGAGAACATCAAAAGAAAACTTGTTTCTATCCATTGAGTGTTGGAAAAAGGGGAAGGGGACCAACTTCTGAGGGTTTAACAGTTTATATTTTGTCATTTAGAAATCAAAGATTATAAGGGGCTGGAGAGACAGCTCAGTGGTTAAGAGCACTGACTGCTCTTACAGAGGACCTGGGTTCATTTCCAGCACCCACATGGCAGCTATGAACCATCCTTAACTCCAGTTCCAGGGGAACCCGAAACCCTCTTCTGACTTCCGAGGTATTGCCTGACACAGGTGCACTCACATACATGCAGGCAATACACTCATAAACATTAAATAAAAATAATAAATAAAATAAAAATTAAAAAAAGAAAGTAAAGATTGTACTCTACTTTCAACAAGGAGATAAACAAACATACTTCCCTGTGATCATTAGAAGGCCTTCTAAAGTTGAGGTTAGGAAGGCAATACACTCATGCACATAAAATTTAAAATATATAGTAAATTAAAT